AACAATTTCTGGTAGGACAACTGCAGTGCAAGTTAAGAATTGAGCAGATCTGGTGAACATCTCTTTAGTAATCCTTGTACATTGCAGAAAAGTGGTTGTCCAAGACAAGGGTAATGAGCACTGGCAATTTGGCAAACATTTCCGCAATGTTTCAGGTGCACTTGTGCTATCCATTGCCAGTATAGATATACGAGACACATTAAAGTTTTTTATATTGATGGAACTCCGTACTAAGTCTCCATAAGTTATAACATAAAGCGATTCAGCACGTCTTGGGCTTGATGCATGAAACTTCTCCAGCTACACTGGAAAGGCCTCTTTTTTGTGCCAACTCCAATGATGTTGCATTGTGATTAGGCTTCTGTCCTCCCAGGGGATTAAGATCTTCAGACTTCACTCCTGCTATAGATGTGGTCCTGCTATGGATGCCCTCCTGCTATTGCGTGCTATGGTTGCCATTCCTGCTATAATTGTGTCTGCTACAGATCCCAATCCACCTATAGATGCCCTCCTGCTATTGTGTGCTATAGTTGCTAGTCTTGCAGTTCAACTTCAGTTGCTTTACATTTCTTCTAAACTATCAAACTGTCCCCCAGATATGGCCTTGAAATTCTTGTCTTGTAGTGGACCGTGTCCCGCTTACTAGTTCTTACAGMAGTTATTAATGCACTTTTTGCCATACGGACAGTTGTTGTTAGCGCAACATTCCACCTTCTTCCATGAGCCTCCAGAACACTTCTTTCCATAGCCACATTGGCTGCTAGAGCAGCACTCCTTGCACTGGCCACTGCAGCACTTCTGTCCATAACTGCAGTGACTGTCAGCGCAGCACTGAGCATTTGTGCAGACCCCTCCGCATCACTTCTTTACTGGACCACAGCCGCTGCCATAGCAGCAGATCACCTGGCAGCGGCCACCACAGCACTTCTTCCCATAGCTGCACTGAGCGTCAGAGCAGCACTGAGCACTACTGCAGGCTCCTTCACAGCACTTCTTTCCATAGCCACAGTTGTTGTCGATGCAGCATTCCTTGCACTGTCCACCGCAGCACTTCTTGCCATAGCTGCAGTGGCTGTCAGAACAGCACTGGGCACTAGTGCAGACCCCTTCGCAGCACTTCTTTCCATAGCCACAGGTGCTGTCGCTGCAGCATTCCTTGCACTGGCCACCGCAACACTTCTTTCCATAGCTGCAGTGGCTGTCAGAGCAGCACTGAGCACTAGTGCAGACTCCTCCGCAGCATTTCTTTACATAGCCACAGTTGCTATCGCTGCAGCATTCCTTGCACTGGCCGCCGCAGCACTTCTTCCCATAGCCGCAGTGGCTGTCAGAGCAGCACTGGGCACTGGTGCAGACCCCTCCACAGCACTTCTTTCCATAGCCACAGTTGCTGTCGCTGCAGCACTCCTTGCACTGGCCGCCGCAGCACTTCTTTCCATAGCCGCAGTGGCTGTCAGAGCAGCACGCGGCAGTCGAGCAGGCACCAT